AGTATTACAAATACTGGTGTAGGCACCGCGGCTCGTAAAAAATGAAATAATAAGAAAGGACCTTCGCATACCAACAGCAAAGGAAGGAATAAGTATCTATGGTAATCTATATGTTAACAGATTAAGCAATCATCCTATCCAGTTAACGAATAAGATGCAAAAATCCTTTCTTATGATTTCGTTTATCACGGACCATGGTGTCTCAACTAGAATTTGTAATACTTTTAACTGAAATCTTTCAAAAATTTCAATGGTTACAATTTTAGTCTAAATCCCACAGTTGTTTACCATATGTCCATGTTGGTTTGAACATTGTCTTGTATAGCAGTATCTTGTTGTCCAGTGAGAGTTATGATTTTCGGTTCAAAAGCCAGTATATTTTATTGAGTTTGAATCCTAATTACTACCTTTTCTTCCAATTATGTTTTCTATATCAATCTACTAGCTAAATATACGCACAAGCATTTAGCTGTTTTAAATTGTGCTCTTTGTTTGTTATTTATTTTTACTGGTGGGCATGTCTCTCTTTTAAAGATAAATGTTACATATACTGATTTTTGTTTATTGACATGGATTCTCCAAGTTATAAGCCAAGTTTGTATTTGGTTTATGTTTCTTTGGAGATTATCTGATGCTAGTTTTGAATTGATATACAAAGCTGTGACATCAGCGAATGTTGCTGTAGCCGTTTATTCTATTATTGAAAGATCCGAAGTATATAGAAGGTATAAAATTGGGCCGAAAACGCTTCCCTGCGGAACTCCACATCCAATGGGCATTAGTGCCATGTACTCTTCTTGATACTTAACTATTGGGAGTGTGAATAAGTTCTCGCCGTTTCACCATCACATGGCGGCATAAAAATTTTCTGTGTATAAGTCAAGATGATGACACATCTATATTGAAGTTCTATAACCTATGTTTAAAATCATTGCGTGTTTTTCCATTAACCTATGAAAAAAATTTTCTTTTTGTAGCGTAAAACATGTCAAATTTCGTGCCAAATAAACCGTTTTTGCGGGGAATTTTACTGCACTATTTTATTCAGAAAAAATCTGCAGCTGAAGCACACAGAAGTCTTGTAGAAACCTATGGTGATCATGCTTTGTCGGAAAGAACATGCAGAGATTGGTTTAACCGATTAAAAAATAATGATTTTAATGTTCAAGATAGAGAACGCAGTGGTGCACCAAAAAAGTTTCAAGACGAAAAATTGGAAACATTACTTGTTGAAGATCCATGTCAGATGCAATCCGATGTTGCAAAATCATTAGGAGTTGATCGAACAACAGTTTCGAAACGTCTGACAGCATNCAAAAGGAAGGATCTTGGGTGCCGTACGAACTGAAGCCGAGAGACGTCGAACGGCGTCTTGTCACGTGTGAGCAGCTGCTTCAACGACAAACAAGGAAAGGTTTCATACATCGTATTGTGACTGGTGATGAAAAGTGGATATACTACAGTAATCCCAAGCGTAAAAAATTGTGGGTTAAGCCCGGCGAAGCAGTAGCATCAACGCCAAAGCGGAATATCCACGGTTCAAGCTCATGCTGTGCATTTGGTGGGATCAGCTGGGGGTAGTATATTACGAGCTGCTCCAACCCAACCAAACCATCACAGGAGATCTCTTTCGACGAAAATTGATGCGTTCGAGCCGAGCATTGAAAGAAAAACGGCCGCAATATGAGCGAAGACACGATAAGGTGATTTTGCTGCATGATAACCCTCGGCCGCATGTCGCGTCACCGGTCAAAACATAGCTGGAAACGCTGAAATGGGAAGTCCTACCCCACCCGCCGTATTCTCCAGACATTGCGCCTTCTGATTACTATTTATTTCGATCGATGACTAACGGCCTGGCTGAGCAGCACTTCACTTCGCATGAAGAAACGAAAAAATGGATCGATTCGTGGATAGCCGCAAAAGAAGTGTCGTTTTTTCGCCGTGGAATTCTAACGCTGCCAGAAAGATGGGAAAAAGTAATCTCCAGTGATGGGTAATACTTTAATTGACTTGTTTTTTTTATTATTTTTTTAAATAAAAGATTTATTTTCACAAAAAACGGCGAGAACTTATTCACACTCCCAATAATTGAAGAGGCTAATTATTAAAAGAAGTCCAGGAAGTTTTATAAATTATTTAATGACATAAGGAATACTTGAAGCCTAGAATATCAGCTTGCAAAAAAAAGAATACCGAAATAATTAGTGATTTTAATTATATTCTAGATAGAGGGAAAGAGTATTTTAAGGAAATTTTAGAAGGAGAAGGGGACCAAGTCGCGGAGAGGGTATCTTATATAGCACAGAACAGGAATTGAATGAGGAGGAAGTGCCAACACTAGATGAGGTGAATACAGCAATCAGGAAACTAAATAAAAAAAAGCACCTGGACCAGACAATATCAATAGTGACATTATAAAAATTGATGAACCTGAGCTTATAAAAAATGTACATAAAATAATCATCAATTTGTGGAAAACAGAAAAACTATCAAGTGAGTGGAAGAAAAGACTAATATGTCCTCTATACAAAAAAGGAGACCCCTTTTATTGTTGAAACTATCGTGGGATTACGCTTCTTAACTCAATGTATAAGATATTTTCAAATATCTTGTATGAAAGATTAAAACCTTATGTTGAAAAAATTTTAGGACAATATCAGAGAGGATTCAGACATGGAAAATCAACCGTTACCCAAATCCATACCTTAAGACAGATATGAGAAAAAACTAAGGAATACAACATAGGTACGTACCATTTATTTGTGGATTTTGACGCTGCCTATGACAACATTGATAGGGGAAAGTTACTGGAAGCAATGGAAGAGTTTGGATTGCCACCTAAACTAATCAGTCTCACCAAGGCCACACTTAGTAAAGTTAAGTGCCAAGTTAAAATACAGAATAACCGGTCTGCAACATTCGTTACAAATAAAAGCCTAAGGCGACGCATTGGCATGTTTGCTATTTAATTTAGCCTTGGAGAAGGTTATGAGCGATGCCGAAATCGACAATAGAGGAACCATATATAATAGGTCTGTACAAATGCTGGCATACGCAGACAATATAGATATTATAGGTAGAATACCCAAAATAGTAAAAGAAACTTTCTCAAATCTGGATAGAGCTGCACAAAATATGGGTTTAAAGATAAATGAAAAGAAAACAAAATATATGGAGATTACAACCAAGCCAAATAAAGATAAATATCTCTTAGTTGATAAATACTAGTTTGAGAAAGTAATAGAATTTAAATATTTTGGTAGTGTAAATATATTAATGAAGAAAATAATATTGATAAAGAAATTAAATATAAGCTAATGCTAGCAAACAGATGCTTCTTTGGTATGAAAAAACAGTTAAGTTCACGACTCCTAAGCCTGAAGACAAAAGTCAAAATATATAAAACACTGTTGAGACCAATTATTATATATGGTAGTGAAAGCTGGCCCTTAACAAAAATACAAACAGATATCCTTAGAACATTTGAAAGGAAGATATTAAGAAGAATATTTGGGCCAGTATGTGTAAATGGTAATTGGCGCATTAGATACAATGAAGAATTGTACAAATTATTATTGTACAAATTATATGACGACACTGATATAGTTGGGGTGGTAAAAACTACAAGAATAAAGTGGCTGGGCCACCTTTTCAGGGAAAAGGATATAGACCCATGCCGCAAGGTAACACTAACCAGACCAGATGGCATGAGAAAGGTTGGGAGACCTCCTATCAGATAGTTGGATAGTGTTGAGGAAGACCTAAAAAGTATGGGAGTGACTAGATGGAAGAGAAAGACTAAAATCAGGGATGAATGGAGACGCATAGTAGAGGCGGTCAAGGCCTGTAAAAGGCTGTAGAATCAATGATGATGATGATGATGATATTTTTTATTTGTTGAAAATCAATGCGACGAGTTCGCAATCGATTATATTGTTTCGATCGAACGAATCGCTATTTAATATTGCTTTAGTGATATTCGCATTATCGGGCATTGCGCGTGCGATGTCGAGAAATTGTCGTAATTTCGCGTCGACGTTATTAATAATTGCACATAGTGAGTTGGCGATGCGGTTTATACAATATTTGAGTTTGTATATATTGATAACGGTGGCTTGCGACACGGACAGGTAACGAGTCGTGGATGTTTCCAGTATAAGTATTGGTAGATTATTGATTTTTCCGAAGCGTAGCGTTAGATTTTCTGTCTGAATATCGTTAGGGAAATCTCCTCCTCCTCCTCCTCCCACATTGTTGCCACTGCGTCGTAGACTCGACATCATGTATGATTCTTGTTCGAGGAAGTTTTTCCACACGGTCGCTGAGAGCGGGATTTCCTTGCCGTAATTGTCGCCTATGACGACGCTTACATAAGATGGAAGTGTCGCTGTGATTCCTATTTCGATGAATTTGTAACCAGTTTTCGTCAGTAGATATTTTCTCGTTAAGATTAAAACTGGAATGTTGGCACTTTCATCGTTTCTTGTGAACAAAAATGGTAGTAGTAATAGTAGTAGTAGTAGTAGTAATTCGATAAGTGGCTAAAAGTGTTTTTTTTTAATAAACGATAATAATAAATAAACGATAATAATAAAACTCACTTGTTCCATTTGTTGTTGTTAATTGTTTTGTTTGTGTCTGACCACCGTTGTTATTTATAACGGGTCCTTCCGTTGAAACGTCATCGTCGTTGTGGTGTGATTTTCATTTTCTCGTGTCGGTCGTCTCACCGTTGGACTGGCGACAGTTGGTAGAGGGGGAACGTTCGTTGTTGATTAACGTGTACATTACGATGCGCGATCTCTCTCTCTCTTGTGGTTAAGATGGGGATGAAAAAAGAAAAAAAATTATGCGGAGCTATTGGAGAATCGTGATCGTTCGTAGTATTCTTCTTTCTCTTTCCTTCTATCTCTTTCTTTTTCTTTCTTACATTAATGTATCCCCCTCTCCTCTTCTTCTTTACTCGTTGCCGTTGCGAAAGAGTCGATTATGATCAATCAACCGAGCGGGTCTCGTAATTGTTTTATCAAATTATCTCGCGGATAAGTAACATCTACGATCTGCAGGTCGAACTTGCCGGTAGCTTTGACGAGTTTGACAAAATCGTTAATTTGTAATAGAAATTATTTTTAACGAAGTATAAATTTCCGTCGATATATCGAAATGCGGTCTTCATCCCGGTCGGTATTCCTGGAAATATCTCTTCGATTGAACTATGACTCATGATTCGTGTTGAACAATTGTCTATTTCTCCGACTATGTGATCGTTGTAGATAACGAAACTCTGTCCTTTGTTGGTGTTTATTGCAGTATTGATTCTGGCTGTAAGTGGAAGACCGAAATCGTTGAACGAAAGTTTCTGGATTAATTCGTAACTAGGAAATGACACCACGTATATGATATTATCAGCAAATATCATCAGGTTGCCCGTAGGTTTCTGATATGCAGCTGTTAAGTGTGTGAAATTGTCAGGGAGAAATTGCATGTAATCTGATATTACGATCGGTTTTTCATAGGTATTTTCGTTGATATTAATCGGCCATATGTACTTTTCATATGCAATATACAGTCGATTGTATATGATTAATATTACATCAAGATCTCGTAGGGCACACGGACAGTGATTGATGTTTTTCGATGTTGTTATTGTTGTTGTTGTTTTTGTTGTTATTACAACAGCTGTAGTGGTGGTGATGGGTGGTATTGTAGTTGTAGAACCATAGTAATTAGCACCATATAGATATCGAATATGAAGCATATCATTTAAGCTCAATGTAAAGGGAAATTTTGTTTTGCTGGGCGCCATCGCAAACATCATCGAATCCTTGTGTTTACAATAATGTAAACCTATTGTGTGGCCGATTTCATGCGCGATTACGTATAACAGCTTTTGCGTGAGTAGAGGATTTCTACTAATATGAATATGCCACGATTCTGCTCTATCTACATGCACCTCCGTGACGTAATCCTTATCTCCGTTGGGAAAGGATGCGTGAGCGAGTACACCACCGGGGCCGTCTAAAGGGCTCGGACACATTTCAATAATTTTCTTGTCGATATTCGTGTGAAGGCCCTCGCGATACGATAACAGTATGTCGGGATTCAGAGATACGCGTTTAAAAGATAGCGATGAATTTGCCGCTCACAGATCAAACGCAGCCTGCGTTAATTTCATGGTTTCCTCATCGGCGAGATGAAAATTCCACGTGAGATGTTTTTTCGGCCAGATATTGTTTCTGCTTCGATCCGTCTGATCCGAAAGGTCTGGGAGACCGCATCGCGGTTCGCGCATTTTGTCCAATGTGATTTTATTCGGTTCACCTTGTCCGGATATTTGATAATATTCTTGAAATAATCCGAGAGTGTGACGTAAGACTTGTTCCATATTTCTCGATGACATTAACAACGGTTCGTCGGTGTTAAGATAGCCATTTTTCGTAAATATTCCGAGTGCCACTTCCGTATCGTTGAATTCTCCCACGATTGTAACGATGCACAACACACCGACCAGAAATGCGATTGGATGCATCCAGAGTCGGGAAACGATAAAACAACGATAAGATAACGGTGATGATAAATCTGATCACTGATAATGAATCGGGCGGCCTTGTGTTTATTTTTAGCACATGCTACACGATGCGCAAAATTTTACAAGATGCGTTGTGGGTGTGTGATAAAATTACAGCGTAGTAAAAATCTGATCACTAACGATGAATCGGACGACCTTGTGTATATTTTTAGCACATGCTACATGATGCGTTGTGTGTGATAAATTACAGCGTAGTCATGTTTGGTATCCAAGAATTGTGCGAACTGTCCATTCCTAACCATTTCACATATATTTTGTCTCTTCGTTTGCGTAATATCTTTTCCGTTAGATAAACATTTGGATTGACCGCTCGTTGTAATTTGTGTTCGTAAAAACCGCCTGATATCGCATCACTGCAATAATCTTTTAGAAGATACATTACAGGATTGGTCCGTTTTATCTTAGCGATGCGAAAGATTTCGGTGTACCAATTAGGTGTGTACCCTTTTTCGAACATCGTTTTAAATTTGCTCACACGAACCGGATCGTTGAGTCAAAATTTCGCTGGTGAAGCAATTTTTATACGATTGTATACAGTGGACAAAAGTTTTTTAGCAACGACGGGTGTGACATCTATCGATCATGTATTAATTGTTCGATATACGCGTTGATTGTAATCCGATAATAATTGCGGTAATATTTTGATCCATTTATATGAACCGTTAAGTGTAAAGGCTTTCCACATGTTGTTTTTCAATGTACGATTGAATCTTTCCACTACCGACGCTTTCATCACCGAACGTGTGGAATAATGATTTACATTATATTTCTTTAACATTGTTTGCAGAGCACTGTTGTAAAATTCTTTGCCCTCGTCCGTTTGCAAATTTTTCGGATGCCTATTTCGTAATATCGAAGATAATGCCTTAACCATTTCACTTCCGCTTTTATTCCTCAAAGGTAATGCCCATGCGTATTTACTTAATACATCGATTACTGTCAATATATAATTATGTCCTTTGTTATATCGCGCATATGGACGCATTTCAACTATATCTGATTGCCAGAGATCATTGTAATCACAAACCACAACTTGACGTGGTGGAAAATTTCGTCGCGAATATGCATGTAATTCCTTAACGAGTTGTTGTTTTTCAATACTTATTTTTCTCTTCTAATTTGTTTTTATTTTTTCACACAGTTGTCAACGTGTATTTTTTGTTTAATCTATTTGTCATTATTATTCTACACTATTCTTCTTTTTTTGTTTGATTTATTTCATCACTTTTTATTTCCTTAAGTACTCTGTTTATTTCTTCCTTCAGATCGAATGATGGTATTGTAGTGTTGCATTGTCATTGTTTTTCGGATCTATTGGTGTTATTATTTTTGACACTGTATCTTTGTGATTATCTCTTTCTTTCGTTTTCGATTGTTTTATAATTTCTGTTTCTGCACTTATTTTAGTTATTTTATTACTTAAATCCGTGATAACACTTTGTATATTATTTTCATTGGATATAATGCCGATCGAATTATTTTCAATTTTATTCTTTAGATCTGTGATGATATCTCGCGTATTACTTTCATTCGACAATAGCGAGGTTATGGTCGGTGAAATTGTATGGATTTTATCCGTCAGATCTGAGATGACATCTTTGTTCACAATTTCGCACACGTCGCATATTTTAGTCGATCTGTGATGACGCTGTGTATTCTATTCTCATTTGATAATAAAGAGGTTACGGTGATTGAAATTCTGTCAATTTTATTCGTCAGATTCGCAATGACATCTTGTATTTTATTTTCATTTGACAATAAGGAGGTTACCTTAATTGAAAATTCATCAATCACTTTTTTATCGTCGATCACTTTGTCAATTTTTTTCGTTAGATCCGTGATGACGCCTTGAATTTTTTCTTTACTTCCATCAATGAGTTTTCTCACAACTGTCAGTGACGTATCGATTTTATCCCTTATCGCATGCAATGCGTTATCAATATATCGTTTATTAATCGCGTCAATGTCGAGTTCTGGAGCGGCTAAATTTTGTATTTTTTTTTCTTCGCGTTATAATAAAGATCCGCGTCTAAACTGAGCGTGTTATTGCGAACGTATGATTGCAAAGTATATAGTTTGTCACGAATTTCACTCTCACTGTTGCCGTTATCATGTTTTTGCAGAGAAGCGCCGAATTTATTCACCGACATTCCGAATATGTGTTTCTTTACGAGTTGTTTAATTGACAATAAATCAGTTTCGCGGAGCTCCTCGATTATCGATAAGATCTTGTTGTCGTGAGCATTGTTTCCGGCTCTAAGCGACGCGTCGAGTAATCTAAAACGTTCTACCAATTCGTTCGGATCATCCCAATGAATATAATCAATTTTATTGTCAATTAACTTCATTGTCGATTGAATCGGTAATACATTTGATAATTTCATTGTTGATCGAATCGGTAATATATTCGATGAATTCACAATATTAGTTATTCGTCTGTCCGCTACCGTGTATTTTATCAGTGGCGCGATGATGTGTTTATATACAAGGTCTGGCTATTAAATAACGAGACTGCGCGCGCAGAAGTCGTCCTAGAGGAGAAGAGGAAGAAACGAATGCAGCATTGGATAGGTGGAAGTGTCTACTATTCCAATACGAAAACTCGTTTTTGTCGCTGTAGCAGTATTTTTTCTATAGAGGTTAGAAACGAACGTGTTTTTTTCTCGTGCCTATAACAATGTGTGACGAAAAACACGAGCAACGGATCAATATGAAATTTCTTGTTAAATTAAAAAAACTCTGACTGAGTGCTATAACTTGTTGAAAGAGGTTTATGATGAGAATTTTCTATCTTGTGCGCGTGTTTTCAAATGATATAAACGGTTTTCTGAAAGCCGAGAGAGCACCGAAGATGACCAACGTCCAGGTCGACCTGTCTCTGTTTTAACTCCGCGAACAATGACCAAAATCAATGAAATTGTGCGCGGAGATCGTCGTATGAGCATTAGGATGATTGCTGAGACTGTAAACGCCGATAAAGAAACTGTCGGAAAAATTTTACATGACGAATTGAACATGAAGAAAGTCTGTGCGAAGTTAGTCCAAAAAAATTTGACCACTGACCAAAAGTTCGTCCGTCAACAGATCTGCTCAGATTTTCTTGAGAGGTTAGATGAAGAGCCTGAATTGATGGAAAACATCATCACTTGCGATGAAACCTGGATATTCTAATACGATGTTGAAACTAAGCGGCAATCCATTCACTGGAAAACTCCTGCATCCCCCCAAGAATGAGAAAAGCAAGGATGTCGAAATCAAAATTAAATAAAAATTTAAATTCATGCTAATCGTTTTTTTCGACATCAACAGCATCGTGATGACTGAATGGGTTCCAGAGGGTCAAACTGTAAACCAAACTTACCATTTGAAAGTTTTAGCAACACTGCGAGAGCGAGTTTGTAAGAAACGGCCTGAGTTTTGGAAAAACAAGTCGTGGATCTTGCACCAGGACAATGCACCTGCCCATAACGCGCTGTCTTTGAAGCGTTATTTAGCCGCTAGAGGCACTCCAGTGTTCGAACACGCGTCGTACTCTCCTGATTTAGCACCCTGTGACTTTTTCCTGTTTCCAAAGATCAAGTCTGTCTTAAAAGGAACCCGGTTCGAGTCGATGGAAAAGGTGAAGCGAAAATCGGCGGAGCTCCTAAATACACTTACAAAAGAAGACTTCCAACATTGCTTTGACCAATGGAAAAAACGAATGGAACGGTGTGTGGCGAGGGGAGGGAAGTACATTGAAGTACATTGGGAGCATTCGATTGTAGAATAATTTTCAAAATAAAACTCTTTTTTATAAGCAGTCTCGTTATTTAATAGCCAGACCTCATATATATCCTTTATTACCCATAATCGGCATAAGGGTTATGTGTTCACGTCTGTGGATGTTCGTTGTCAAAATTATATTTTTGTGTTGTTGCTTATCATTATCGATAAAGATCGTGTCATCAGGGAGTCGTTTGAATAACAATTCGTATAGACCTGGTTCCCACGTACTCAGTACTATTTAAAGTAATGGAATCATCCGGATTTATATTGAATTGCTTATCACCGAGCATCATATCTTCTTTATTATTGACATATACGCCGTAAACGTAATCGATACCACGATCACCACTAAGAAGACTTGTTATATACCTTTGTCCAAACGGACCCAGATGATCGACTGATATTTCACGACTTGTTGCAATAATACATTATTTTTTTCTTCCTCTGTATCTATTTCTGGAATAATATCATAAGATTGCGTTATGGTCGCATTCGTTTTTTGTCGTTTTCTCCCTCTCAAGTCAGTATGTTAAGGTTCTGTTGATGAATCGTACAATGACGATGATGCGACTTTTAATTGTTTTCTTTTTTCCGTCAAATATGCAGAAATCGGTGTGGTGAATATATCATCATCGACATTTTTATCATTATTTTTATTGTCTTTTTCATTACCATCACTGTTA